TCTGGGCTGCAGGGGGGAAATTGGAGGTGGGGGGGTCTGGGGCTGCAGGGGGGAATTGGAGGCAGAGGTTTTTGGGCTGTGGGGGGGGGAATTGGAGGCAGGGGTTTCTGGGCTGCAGGGGGGAATTGGAGGTGGGGGGGAATGGGAGGCAGGGGGTTTCTGGGCTGAAGGGGGGGAAGTTGGAGGTGCGGAGAATGGGAGGCAGGGGTTTTTGGGGCTGCAGGGGGGAAATTGGAGGCAGTGGTTTTTGGGCTGCAGGGGGGGAATTGGAGGTGGGGGGGAATGGGAGGCAGGGGTTTTGGGGCTGCAGGGGGGACCCGGGCCGAAGGGGTACTGGACGTGGGGGTTTCCCAGCTGTGGGGGGGGGGATCCTGGGAAGGATCCTGGCACACTCACCCGCACTCTCTTGTAGTCGCACAGGAACTCCACCTCGAAGTGGCTGAGGTTCCTGCGGGTGATGCCTAGCGAGGGGCAGCGAACCCTCTCCAGCCGGCACAGGTCCTGCAGCTGGGACCATGAGGACTTGCAGCACACGGCACAGCCTGCGGGCACACGGGGCAGCGTTAGGGGGCTGGCACCAGCCGGGCAGGGAGGGGAGGGACCCCAGGGAAGGGGGGGAATCACTGTGTGTGGGGGGAGCCCAGGGCTCGGCCAGCGGGGGCTGCAGGTCCGGAGTGAGGGGCACCGGCAGAGCTGTGACATGGGAAAGGGCCAAAGTGCAAGGGGGTGACCAGGGGTCACAGCTGGGGGGGGAGGTCACCATGTCAAGGCGTCAGCAGGAGGATAGCAGGAAGTGTTCGGGGGCTGCGTGACTTAGAGGGAGTCCCCTTGCATCGGGGAGATTGGCCTAAGCGTTTGGGGGGGCTCACACTGCATTGAGGGTTTCATCAAAGGGTACTGGGTGGGGGGGGAAGTCACCACATCGGGGGACTCGTGAGCCTACCAGGGGAGGGGAAGTCAGCCCGAGCACGCGCATGGAGAGTGGCTCACCCCTTGTCCGAGGGTTGCCCCTCATCCGGAGGTTGTCATGAGG